ATGCTAAGGATAAATAAAGTGACTTCTGTAGGGCCCAGCACAAAGAAAATACTAAGGAGAACCCAATCCAAGCAAGAGTGCCCTTAGGACAGAGGGATGGGAGCAGCTTACGCTTGGCAAAGCGGTCCCCAGGGTAGATATGGCGGTTGTAGACATCCATGATGTACACACGCTTGTCACCCATGAAGTCCCGTTCGTGCCCATTGCCCTGTGGGGAGGACACGAAGACACTCTCAGGCAGGTGCCCTCAGTAAGGCCAGGACCCCTCAATCCAGGAAATACTCCCCATCCCCCTGCCTAAGTTGTGCAGCTTGCCCTTGGGGCAGAGGGTCTCATGGTTATTAAGTGACAAAGCTAGATTCAACCTCAAAACCTGGCCCCATGACCTTCTAGAGTGACCTTAAGCAAACTCCAGCCCTCTCAATTTCCTCTCCATGAAATAAAGCAGGAATCCTTGCCCTACCACTCTCTCAACTCTGTGGTAGGATTGGCTGGGTTCATGGATGTGAAATGTAAACTGTAAAGGGCTGTACTCATGTGACTTGGTTCAGGAGCTCAGTGTCACATGACCTTGAAGCAGGGCCCTGACCAGCACAAAGCCACAGCAGCAGAGGTATGGGAGGGGCCTTCAAGAGCCCATTGGATACCCTGCCCTGTCTCTGACCAGAGGAGCAAGCTCTGGGTTTGGGGTTTTGAGGCCCTGCACTCTGATGCTTTACCTCCAGGAAGTTAGTTAAGCAGTGGCCTGGGGCTGAGCAACCCTGAAATCTTATGAGTGCGCATTTGCCAGAGGGGCAGGTCCACAGAGCTCCTCAGCTCTGTGCAAACTGACTAGGAGGTCCACAAAGAGGTGTAGAGCACAAGAATAGCACTGCCATTGTTTTAGAAAGCGCCATCAGCCTGTTTTGTGGGGGCAGTCAGGAGAAGGGAGGGAGGATCCTCAGGTTTGACAGGAGCAACAAAGAAGACCAGCCACCCTGGCTGGGCTATGAGGGGCAGAGGGAGAAAGAAGGACTCTCCACTTAAAGCTTGAGACATAGAGGGTAGGAAGCAGGGAGAGAGGCAAGAGATCAAGATGGGGATGGCAGATCAAGCTTGGGGCTCAGGGATGTTCCCAGGGCAGGGGGGAGTCCCAGTGTAGAGTTGTGTGACAAATGCTTATGGGAGCATGCAGAGGGATCCTGGGGAAGGGGGCGCATGAGACCCCAGACCCCACAGGGCACTCACCTGATGGGCATCAAGATCAACAATGGTAGCTCTGGAGATGCCCTCCACTCGCTCAAACAGAAACTGCCAAGGGGAAAAGGGAGACATGAGGACCCAGATGGGTCAGAGGATGCAGCCCCTCAGGGACTTGTAGTTGGTAAGGGGTCAAGGCAGGAGGCCATCCATGCTTGCAGACTATCGGGACACCAGGTAAAGATATCATATGCCCAGGAGAGCTGTGCAGCTCCAGAGAAGCATTTGCATGGTCAGGGAAGGCTTCCTGCAAGAGGGGGCTTGTGCTGTGCCCTGAAGGACCAGAATTCAGAAGGTAAGTGGTGCAGTAGGGCTGGCCCTCAGAGACAGCCCAGGAATACTGGGAGAACATGTGGTGATTGGGATGGAACATACCTCCCCTCCAATATGCCTGGAACTTCATTCTGCAGTCTGCCTTCCTACAAAGTCACATCCTCATGCCTCCTTCTCTGGAAGTCCTCCTTCCTCTCCCCCCACCCTCACCCTCCTCTCTGAATGGCCAGGGTCTGCTAACCTGCCCTCTCCACTAGTAGTCTGTGTGCCCTGTGAGAACAAGGATGCTTACGGCCTGATCACCCAAGGCCAGGGTGATCAGGGGTAGCTCTGGGGTCTGACAGACACGAAGGCCAGTGCCAGCTCTGTCCTTTCTGGCTGTGTGGCCTCACCTCTATGGGTCTCAGTTTCCTCATCTATAATATGTGAGGATTAACTGAGGTGAGCCATGGAGAATGGTGGCTGGCATAGGGTTGACCCTGCAGTAAATGCCATCAGTACTACTGTGATCATTATTATTTCTATCTTCTCCTCACTCTTTTGGGGCAATGCTCTTCTTATATTGTTGATATATATTCTGCTCTCCCCAGTTCCCGGACATTGTTGAAGGCTATAATAGCTCCTTTCTGTCACAGGCAACACAGAAGAGAAAATGTCAGATCTGGATTTGAGCCCCAGCCTGGCTGAGCAACATGGCAACCTTCCTTGCTTTCTGAACTTTAATCCTCTTCTCTATAATGTGGGGTGAGGTGAAGCTGGGAGTGGCAGGGGAATTCCAGGGGAGGGGCTTGGAGGCAAGCCTGATGTGCTCTCCAGTGCACCTTGATAGCAAGTGTGATGTCCGCGTAGGCACAGAAACCCCCGCCTCGGTCGCTGGAGCAGTGGTGGAAACCGCCACCTGTGGAAGGGCAGACATGGTGTAGTCAGGGCCAGGCTCAAGGGCTAGGCCCAGACCCTTCTCTGCCCCTCCGTACCTCCCACTGGGCCCTCCCTGCTCAGCTTCCAGGAAGGCTCTTGGGGCTTCAGATTGGCAAAGTGAACTAAGAGCCACTATTCCTAGGTCAAGAGGCAGCTCTGTCATCACAGCCACCCCTGCCAGAGCAAGAAACCTTTTACTGTCCCAACAAGTCAGCCCCCAGGGCCTGCTCACACCCCTTAGGGAATGGGAGCTCATCCTTCCTAAAGCAGAAAGTCTCCACAGAATTGGGCCTGTCTGTATTTGAGTCCTCATGCCAGGAAGGGGTGGTGGGACTATGAGAGCAGGTTTACCTTGGGACTGACGAGATTCTGTGAGTAGTAGAAGGGGATGGTGAGGAAGGGCACCCTCTGCTGGTCATGGCTGCCCATGGCAATGGGGGAAGCCAGGATCCAGCCTCCTCTGCCCCTCAACCCTGAGACCACAGCCTCACAGCTTCAGCGCCCACTGACCAAGCCCCTGCAGGCTGTCCTGGGCCCCAGGAAGTTAATGGAGTCTTTGGGAGAGCCTCTGAAACTGCAAGTTTCAGCCCCAGGCAGAACTGCCCAGGGGATGGCACAGGCTTTCTTGGATAAGGGAGTGAGCTCCCCATCATTGGAAATACGGAAAGGCAGGACTGGGGAGCCATCTGAAGAATTCTTTTAGACAAGGACCCCATACCAGATGGAGGCACTCATTGGTCCCTCCCAGGTACTTGGTGGCTGCGCACTTATCTCCAGACCACTATAAGGAGGCTCAGGGTGGTTATGGAGGCACCAGAGCCTCTGAGGTCACAACTGTCTCCTTTAGGTTTCTCCTGGCCCTCCCAGCCCTCAGGCCCTGGCAGGCCAGCTCCCCAAGGCCAGGCAGCGGGGCACTCACCCACATTGATGGCCCAGCCTCGCTCCACTGCCAGCTTCCCCGCCTGGGAGACAAGCACAGGGTGAGGCGTCTGAGCAGTCCTCTCCTTCACTTACTCATTGCTGATTCACTCATTCATCCCAGAAATACTGTTTCTAGCCAACTCTGAGGTGGGGATGAGCTATGAGGTGGAGGGTACAGAAAGTACCCCCCCTCCCCCAGCAAACTCAGTCCCAGAAGCAAGTACCAGATTGGCTAGCATAAGCCTCTTTGCAATTTTGTGAAGAAATTGGAAGAAATAAAAGTACTTAAGATCACACATGAGCTGACAATGACTTTAATGTGGCTTTCAAAAGAAAAATAAACATTTTTTTTTGCTCATGGAAATATAGTAGACTGAATACTGAAATCCCATAGGAAATCATAGTTTCAGAGTGGGCAGTTATAGTCTAATAAACTAAAAAATATACAAATTTGCAAGCCAAAAAGAAAACTATAGGGATCAATAGGTACTGATGCAGGTCTAGATTAGACCATTGTACACTGAAATCTGCAATGTTTCTCTACCTCCAATCAACTCAGCTGCCTGTGGCTATGATTTTAAAGAAAACTACACAGAGGACAAGAAACCTAATTTTACCAAAAATGTTTTTTGTTGCCACACCTGTGATGGATGGGGAGAGAGGGGAATATCATCCATCATTGACATCATGGGGATTTAGTTTTCTATCTTAAATTTGGGTACACTGGAGCACTCATTTTAGGATCTATCTCTGGGGTATGGGGATATATCTTACATACCAGCAAATACAGTAACTCCATCAGAACCCAGGGGAAGGAACAGTAAATTCTAATGTCCAGGAATGGGAAAGGCTTTGGGAGAAAGAGTCATTGTCTCTGGGCCTTGAAGAATACTTAACATTTTGTTCAACTACTAATTGGGAGAAAGGCATTCCAGATGGAGAGCCTAGGATGGGCAAAGGCCCTGAGGTAGGACAGAACTGGGTGTAGGGGTCCCCAGTCAAGCCCTTCATCCCGCCTGCCTCCACACCTACCATTATAGTTCCTCCTGTCTGGGTCCGAAGGGGCTTCAGCACCTTCCTCTGCACAAGGAAGTTGGGGAGAAAGATGACAGGGGGGATTTCTGTGATGGTCGCGACAGCAAAGGACCACTGTGGAAAGAGACGCAAGCCATTGGCCTCCTACTGCTGTGCCTGGGGGTCAGAGACAGCAGCTAGGAAATCAGATTTCCTCTAATGCCAGTTTCATAGTGCCCTGGGAGAATTCCTGGTCAAGTGCAGTGTCTTTAGTAAGAAACGAAAACTCCCCACTGGTCTGGTTCTCACAAAGCTTTGGGTTCAGTGAACAGCAATTCACACAGCTAAGTCGGCCCACATTCCTTAGAGCTCCAAAGTCCTTGGCTGCCCTCTTGTGTCCAGAACAAGAGTTGAAACTAATATAATATTGAATATCAACTGTAATTGAAAAAAAAGTTAAAATTAAAAAAAAAAAAACAATAAAAAATACACTGGGGATGGAAAAGGAGAGAAAAGAAACAAAAAAAAGAGAGCTGAGGGGGACTCCGAGTCACAGAGGTGCAGACCAGAACTGGCACAGGTGAACAGGAGTTATCCAGTCCTAGGGGTCAAGGTAAAAAAAATTACTGCTGTTAGAGGAGAAGGAAAGTTGGGTGCAGTTGGGAGAGGGCCGTGCTTATCATGTTGGGTCTGGTCTGCCAGAGAAGGCTCTCACACATCATCATCAGAGCAGCAGGGAGTCTCACACAGTGGTTTCCCAAGCTGCTATAGCTACAGCAGGAGAATCAATTAGGGGAATGAGAAGAGAAGCAACAGCGGCCCCAGAGAGGAAGCGAGAGACAATGAGAGTTTGGGAGAGGTGAGATGGAGATGGTTAACAGACAGTATGTAGGGGACAGATGGATAGAGCTGTCCAGGATGCAAGGTTGGAATCCCAAGACTTGAACACTGAAGGACAAAGCCCAGGAGCAGAGCCCACTGGAAAGAACAAGGGAAGGTCTGGAACCTGAGGGGTGGCGGTGCGGGGGGTGGGGGTGGGGTGTCAGAGGTGCTCAGGCAGAGAGAAGGGTTCAGGAAGTTGTGAACAAAGTGAGGTACTGAGGCTGCCAAGGCATCCTCTGAGAGAGCTGTGAAGCGCGGCCAATGTGCTCACCAACCAGGAGAGATTTAGGCCTGTTGAGGTCTGATTATATTCAAGAAAGTATGTGTGTGGGGGGGGCGGGGTGTGCATTCATATGAGGCCAGGGAAGGAGAGCAGAACTGGACCCATGTCACCTACTGGCCAACAGGGGAGACATTTTGTCAGATTGCCCATACTGCCACTGAACACCTGTGTGGCCACCCCTCTAGGCTGGCAATGCTGAGGACAGTTGAGGGCTGGGGAAGCTTGTTCTGCTCCCACACGCAAGTGAAGGAGCTCATAAAAAGGCCCACAGGACCTATACCACTTGTCTGAAAGAAGAGGTGCCCATCTGGCTTTCCTCAAGGCCCACTAGCTGTAACATGGAGGCACCCTGGGGCCTAGAAGGAGGCAGGGGTGCTAGAGCTGGGACCAAGATTAGACCCCCATGTGTGTGTGCATGCACATGCTTCTGCATAGACACATGCATGTGTGTGCATATGTACATACATGCACATGTGTGGTAGGGGACAGATTCAGAGAGAAGGTGGCTAGCTCTGCCTATTCCCACTGCCCAATACAGGCCTGGCAAATAGGAGGCTTGGCACCACTGTTTTTTATGAATAAATGAGTGAACACACAAATGAAAAAACACATTAAGTGACTACCCCCTACCCTCAGCAAGCCAGCAGGGGATAGAGATTGAAAAGAAATGAAGCCATACCCCAGCCTCCTGAGGGGTCTGATATGGACACAAAACCATGAGAATGGCATTTCTCTATGTGTGTTCCACAGCAACTATCTAGCACAACAGCACTCTATCAAGGTTCCACATCAAAGAAGTTGGGGAAACACTGCTTATATTGTCCACCTCTGGGAAATGCCCAGCCCACTCTGGCATGTTAAAGGCTGTGAGAAGTTCTCCAGTACAGAATCTGCTAACTTGCTTCACTCTGTTTCCCAAACTTCCCAATTATAAATCTCTACCTGCCCACTTTACTTTTTATATAACACACTGTACTGATCTTAGCAAAGCTACAGTTCTGTGGGACACACGTGGGAACCTCTAATTTAGAGACTGAATTTTACATGGGCCAAGCATAAAGTCACCAAAAGCATGTATGGGATTCAGCCAAGGGGACCAGCTCCCACAGGAGAAGGTGACTGTCTGCCAATGTTTCGCAACTTCTAGATGTGAAAGATGGGGCTGGGCAGCCTTCTCTTTGGCCTAGTTGTGGTTTCTGTGTAAGGCAGTAGTATGCATCCTCTAGATTTGTGCTGTCCAATCCAGTTGCCTCCAGCCACATGGGGGGCTACCTGCGTAAAATTTTAATTTTTTAATTAAAATTTTGTTCCTCAGTCACTAGCCATATTTTAGGTACTTAATGGCCACATGTGGCTAGTGGCAACCTGACAGAGCCCTTCTAGAATACTTCTGTCATTGTGGAAAAGTTCTGTTGGATATAGCCACTCTAGAAAAAAACATCGGTGGCCAGGGTAAAAAATAAGAGGGTGGGGCTGGGGGATGGGGAGGACTGGAGGATGGGGCAGATAGACAGATGGGTGCTCCAGTGCCAGAAACAGATACTTTATCTGGGATGCACAGCAGGATGTGCAGCCCACATTTGCCAGCAGGTTAGGTCCTCTGACAGCCTGGCCCCAGGGAAGGGCATTGAGGGATAGGCTGGATGGTAGCAGGATGGGGATAAGGCTCAGAAGTCTTCCTCAGAGTCAAACTAGTCTAACTCTGGGCTCTGCCACTGCTGTATGAATTTGGGCATGGCTCTCTATTTCCCTGTGCCTCCATTCACCTGTCTTCTCCTCTATGAAACAGGAGCTCCTCTCAACTAGGTCTAGAATGAGGACTTCAACCAGAGAGGCTTGTCCTCACTACCCAATCTAAAGGACCCTCACCTGGGCCCTCCAACCTCTACCTTTGCTTCATCTTTGTGCAGAGCACTTGTCTCTACCTGATAATAACAATACCTCTATGGCCATCTGTCTCTCCCAGAAGGATGCCAGCTCCAGGAGGATAGGTGCATGCTTGTCCCCTGCCGCACAGACAATGCTGAGAACAAAGCCTGGTACATAGTAGGTATTTGTAAGCCATGCTGTCAATCTTCCCCCAAGATCACTACCTTTACCCTCTCCCAAGGAGGCCACCTCACCTGTCCCATCCCAGAAGAGCCTGTAAGAGCCTGGCCTCCTGCTCTTGAGACAGAACACTGCAGACAGAACACAGCACACACCTGTGGGATCAGGTGAGGCCACACTCCTGGTGAACATATGTGTGTGACCAGCTTCTTCCTCTGTCCTCTCTGCCTCCTGCCCTCCCTCAAAGTTTGTCCCGGGTGACTCCCCACTTCTGGCTCTACTTCTAGGGCTGTACTTCTCCACGTGTGGTTCCTGGACCAGAAGTAGCAGTGGCACCTGAGAGCTTGTTAGAAATGCACATTCTCAGGCCCCACCCCAGACCTCTTGAATCAGAAACTTTGAGAGTAGAGCCCAACAATCCGTGTTGTGACAAGCCCTCCAGAAGATATGATGCTTAAGCAAGTTCAGGAATCACTGCTCTAGAGAACCTGACCTCAGACAGTGCTGAACAAATGAATGAATGAGCTACCTAAACCTGAGAGGTTTAACCCAGCTTGATGCTCACTAAAGGGCCTGGTCTGTGAGCTCCCCCATCCCAGCTTCCATGGAGAAGAGCCTTTTGTCCTGTCAGATAGCAGGACACACCTGGGGCTGGCGAAACCTCTAAGACATACTCTCAGCTTTGCAAGATGCTACTCTCCAGCTGCCTAATTTCCTCAGGTGGACCCCGTACCCTCAGAGGTCCAAATCAAGACCTGCTCTCAGGGAAGAGACTGGCTGCATCCCCACTTGGAGCCCCAACTGCTTGGTTTGGGTCAGAATTTTCCACCAGTATTAAGTGGGAGCAAAAGAAGAAAAGGTGGGGGGGGGAAACCCACACGATCATCTCAGTTAATGAAGAAAAGCCTCTGACAAAATCAAACACCCTTTTATGATAAAATCAGTCAACAAATTAGGATTAGAAGGGAACTCCCTCAATACAACAAAGGGCATTTATCTTTCTGTCTCTCACACGCAAAATCCCACAGTTAACATCATACTCAATAGCAAAAGACTGAAAACTTCCCACCTTATAATATGAGGTATTAGACAAGGATGCCTGCTTTTATCACTCCTATTCAACTTTGCACTGAAAGTTCCAGGCAGAGCAATTAAGAAAAAAAAACAAAGAAAGAAAAGGCCTCTATATTAGGGAGAAGCAGAACTTACCTCTATTCACAGTTGCCATGATGTTATATATAGAAGATCCTAAAGAATGAACACACACACACACACACACACACACACACTTACACTTAAGAAACAAATGCAACAAGGTTATGAGATATAAGATCAACACACTAAAATCAGTTGTATTTCCATACACTAGCAACAAACAATCCCAAAAGGAAATTAAGAAAGCAATTCCATTTATAATAACATCAAAAAAATAATAAAATACTTGGAAATAAATTTAACCAAGGAGATGCAAGATTTATACACTGAAAACTACAAAAGAAGATCTAAATGGGAAAATATCCCATGTTCATGGGTTGGGATACCTAATATTGTAAAGATGGCAATACTGTATAAATTCATCTAGAGATTCAACACAATCTCTATCAAAATCTCAATAGCCTTTTTTACAAAACTGGAGAAACTGATCCAATAATTGATAGAGAACCTCAAGGGACCCCGAATAGCCAAAACAATCTTGAAAAGAACAAAGTTAGAGGACTCGCAATTCCCCATTTCAAAACTTACTAAAAAGCTTCAGTAATCAAAGCAGTGTGATGTTGGCATAGGATAGACATATAGATCAACAGAATAGAATTTAGGGTCCAGAAATAAATCCATATGTCTATGGCCAATTGAGCATCTACAAGAGTACTAAGACCAGTCAATGGAGAAAGAACCGTCTCTTTAACAAATGGTGCTGTGT